TCAGACACAAACAACGCACACCACTCCCGCAAGTTAAGCCTGAACGTGGCGACACACCCCAGCTACCAACCCCCACTTCACATTCCAGAAAGGACACACTCACCCCCCGCCAAAAGAGCAGCCCTGTAAACTTAGGGCTTAGATTTCCGATTGGACAATGATCAGGGGTCAGGGCGCCCCCCCATTCTAGCTTGCCATTCACATTTACGGTGGGTTTTTTATGGCTGAGACACCCCACGCCATCTTCTACCCTCGGTGTCGGCACTAAAGGGACGACCCTGCGAGTCTCTGTTTAATGACCGCCGTCATTTTCTGCTAAATCGAAGGGCCCATTTTCTACTCTCGCTGTAATGCAAGTTTAATTGTTCTCTCCCATATCCACATAGGTAGCAAATGAGTTCGTAGGCGGAGATTAATTATGGTTTGAAAGAAAAGCTATAATTAGCCTAAAAGCATTCTTAATAAAAAGGCATGTTTTCATAATGTTTACCTCTCTGGTCTGTTTCGGCACTAATATTGACTTTGTCACTAACGTGTCTGATTTAGACTTTCTGCAAAATGAATAATTCATTCTGCACAATCTGGGCTATTAGCTGCATATTTAATGAGTGTTTTGTCTATTGAAGTTCCCAGCCATTTAGCTGCAAAACTCACACATATAGATGATGTATATGGGCTTAATCTCTGCTCTGGCTTTAGATGAATAATTAAAGCTGGCTTATTTGCTGTATGCCTTATGAGTCTCTTTCCAGATGTGACATTTGGAGGAATGAGTGCAGTTTTTGGGGTTGTACTTGCGATGCCAGTTTTTCCTGTTCTTTCTATTTTAAAGTATGTAGTGAACAGCTTCTGACTTGCTTGTAAAATGCTCGCCAATCTTTTGTTCAATAATAGTGCCGCCCCTCCATGAATGACTCTTATATGACTGTAGCGCCCCCTGTTCACCTTAAATTGTGTCCGACTGTTGACTTTCGCGCTTCTGACATTGGGTTGAGGCTCGTTTGGGAAGTGACCCCAGGCAGGATGACTGTTCCTGGTATCATGTTCCTCTGGGTGCCACTCCGAACATGGAAGGGGAACATCCAGCGCAGCGGATACTAGGATGCGTTTCCCAAACATATTCGTGCGGAAAGCCAGGAGAAAAAACAGGGATGCCCAGCAGAAAATGGGGCCAGGTCGTCCCTGATCTAAGGACACAAATGCCTTGGCCACCTTCACGGAATGTTGCTTCTGTGTTTGTATCCTGCGTGTCTCCACAAGTCTGCGCACGGTATCCCAGCAACCCTGCCTAGGGGAGCGGTCAATTCGTAGGCTCGTAGGCAGAACCCCGATGAAGCAAACGATCTGATCCGTCAGCCCTTCACACAAACACGTGCCGGGGTCTCTCAGGGCCCGCTCGCCCCGAGGGCTGGGCCAGGAGGCGTGTGAATTCTGTGTGTAATTAAGATGAGAAGATAAACCTTATTGACCCCAGGGAAAATTCTTCTGCATAGAGCAGCAAGATGCATAAAGCACAAATGAACAGATGTATGTATGGATGGATGGATGGATATTCGGTGTTACGACACCAATTACAAAGACAAAGGGACAAAAATAATCAGTGGTACACTTAAATTAGAAAATAAAAAGGAAGGATAGGAATTAAAGAAACTAAATAAATAACTAAATAAAAATGTACAAAAATGCTGTTAAATGCAAACAGCACTATACAGTAATAACCACAAATGCAAAATGGAAGGCAAAACAAAGTGCAAAAACAGTTCACATGGCGCAAACAAAAGCACAGGGTGTACAAACAGAATATTATGTAGTATTAAGGAAATAAATATATGTATAAAAAAATTATGATGATAAACTAGAGGTCGAGCTCATAGGACTTGATGTTATAATCCCAATATATGTCTTGAATATTGAGTATTGTATATGTGCAGTTAAAGAAACAGATAGCACTGGACTTTTACTGCAGCAGAGCCGGGGGCTTCCTGCCACGTTGTGCCTGGGGGGGTCACATCCGGGGAGGCGCTGCGGTGCCAGTGGAGCAGCTGGGAAGGACTCGGCATTGATTCTGCCTTCCTCTCCCATTATTTCAGCATTTTTGTTTATTTACATCGGACCAGGTCGGAAAGCCGCCCCAGCAGTGGAGTTTGTCCTGCCGTGTCCTCATTGCTGCCGCCACTCTCTCCAGCAGACAAAAGATCGATAGACTATTTATTGTGCGAGTCCAGCCACCACCAGAGCTGCCGCTCGTGTTTTAGGAACTCCATTAGAAGCGTTAATTGGCCATTGTAATTAGTGGCGTCCCTATGCTGACCCAGCTGGGGACGGGCTGCCGGCTCTCTCGGCACCGAGTCCCCCTCTTCGTGCTGCATTAAGCCCAAATTGACAGAGTGCAAAGTAAATTGCATTTGAGAGCAGGTGCAGGCAACGTATTTCAAGGTACAAGCTTATAATTCTGGGCAGAGAAGAAATGTTTTGCTGGCTGGATGCTGTTTTACACACTCTGCAGTGGGCCTGCGTCATGGTGATATTCACATAAAGGAAGGTGCCGGGCCATATTTATGCTCTTTTCACTTTTGAATGTGCCAGCAAAGCTTGTTATATTTAATGTGACACATACAGTTATTGAGATAGAGAGTCAGATAGTCCCTAGGGAAATTGGGGATTAAGGGCCTCACTCTGGGGCCCAATGGTGACATCACCTGCCTAGCCCAGGACTTGAACCGGTGACCTTCTGCACAGGGGCACGGCACACTAACCATCTGAGCCATACACCACCTTCCATGAATAATGTGATGTTATTTGACTCTCTCGGGGTTCGGTTACGCCCGTGGCCATCGCTCCAGCCTGCACTCAGACCTTCAGGGGGCATCCCACTCCCCCCCCCAGATGCTGAGGAGGCCAAGCCAAGTGTTGGGGTATAGTTTTGTGTATAGTCTTACCTCGCTCTCACGGCTTCAGCTATTACTGTTTAAATCCCTATATCAGCACTGGGGTATTTTAAAAACCTGCATCTCCTCAGGCTCAGGATTATACGCCCTCTGACCGAACTTGTCTCCATAATGTCATTCAAGGCAAAGGCCACCGCAGTAATGGAAACGGGCAACTCGTATCTCAGGGTTAACGTATCGCACCTCGGTTTGTACCTGTGCCCGCTGGCTGATGTCTCTTCGTCGCCCCCTTCTGGCCCCGGCAGGCTCGCTTCTCCTACCTACGTATGAAGTACCTCTTCTTCTCCTGGCTGGCGGTGTTCATCAGTAGCTGGGTGGTGTACGTCCAGTACTCGTCCTACACGGAGCTGTGCCGGGGTCACGAGTGCAAGAAGACCATCGTAAGTAGGGCGGCGCTCACGCTGGGATTCTGACCCATCCATGACCTGGACAGAGCCCCTGTTCACCACCAACCAATAAAGAGCTATTTACATTTATTCTGTTTAGCAATAGCACATCACAAACACAGACGTCAAAGTGTCGATTAGGCGTAAGTGCAGTTTGGCTGAGCTCAGGGTGACCCAAGGTGACCGTCACAAGTCCATTCCTTCACCAACAGAAACCCCCCTCCCCAAAATCGAGCCATGCTTTAATCATTTCATCTTCATCATCATTATCATCATCATCACCCCTGTGCTGCTGCAGTGTATGTGTGTGTTTTCTGCACGACTAGGAATGTGAGTCAGGCCCCTGTTTGCTGATCGCATAATGATAAAAGGCAGATTATGAGTCACCGAATGCTGCAGGGCCTTAAACCAAATGGGATTTCAGAGTGAGGGTCTGGTTAAATAGCCCCCGCTGGTGCATGTGTGGCGGATAAAGCCCGAGCGCCGAGCGGACGCTGCGTCCGTGTCAGGATTACGCACAGCTGGCTGTTTATCTAGCCTGTCATCTGCACAGACTGTGGAATTAGCGCCTGTTTCCCCCAAAAGGCAGCTCTAGCTGGGGCCTGGCTGATGGTCTCCCAAACATCTTCCTGCCACCTGGGCTCTCTCAGCCAGGACCCCTGATTTCCTTCTCTGCTGCAGGAGGGGGGGGGTGCTTCTCTGCGTGATGCTTAAGATCCTGAAGATATGAGGCAGCTACATCAGTTCATGAGAAGATAAGGAGATGGTTCTCTTTTTCCAAACATCACTGGGGTAGTATTCATGGTTTACTGACTCAAAGATTCAAGAACAAGATTGTTTCTCAAAGGGGTCTTTGGGGACCCCTCAGCCAGCATATCTGTACCAGGTGTTCTTGGCATGCTGGGAGCTCAGGGGGAGCAGAAATGTGGACCGTCTGGGTTCAGAAACATTGGTGTGAATGTGGGAATTAGAAGAAAGAAAACCCAAACATTCCTGAGTCCTGTGCTCCATGAGCACAGGCTTTGTGATGATAGCCTTCCCCTGTCTTGTGCTCTTGCACAGTACACGTTTCAGAGCTCACGCTGATGAGCCAGCAGTGCCACCTACTGGTTGGAGCGCAGACCCAGACTACTGTTCACAGCAGTCGAGATGTTCACCTCGGCCAACCTGCCAATCTCCCTGCTTTCGGGGATTGATTCTGATATTTCTGCCAATCAGCTGGCTTTCGTCCTGCTTGGTGTCGCTTATGAAAAGCTGATTAGCCTAAGAAGGCCGAGGAGACGGAGGTGGACCAGCTCCCAGATGATGCAGCCAACAGGATGTGGGATGACTGATCGCCCCCTCCACCGTGAGAGTGCTAACCTGCGCTGTCCTCTGTGTCAGTGTGATAAATACAGGAGGGGGGTGATTGATGGCTCAGCATGCAGCAGTCTGTGTGACAAGGACACCCTGTACCTGGGGAAGTGTCTCTCCTCCAAGCCCAACAACCAGGTGAGGAGCCCCACCTTTTCGCCACTGTCACCCCCCCCCACTAGCTTACGTAAGTGGCTTGCCCCTGTTCCGCAGGTCTACACTGGCAGCTGGGGCGATCTCGAGGGAGTAATCAAATGCCAGATGGGAGACATCTTGCAGTATGACCTTGGGGCCGACATGGAGCCCCGGAAGGAGGCCATGCTCTTCGACAAGCCCACTAAGGGAACCTCTGTCGAGAAGTTCAAGGAGATGGTCTTCAGTTACTTGAAGGTAAGGAAAGTCTGCCCCCCCCCCCCAACCCATCTCCACAAGTTTTTCTTGAGCAAAGTCAGTCTGTTCTTTGCAGCAACCTATTTTGGAGTTTGTCCTCAACGCTTGACAACTATAAATCAAGTGCAGTTTATCGTCCATGAAAGACGTGGTGCACATTTTTCTGACCGAGAAATGTCCCTAGAGATTGATGCACGGTGGTGGGACAGGAAGTGGGTCAGCTGGTGATGAGTAGCCATGAAAAGTTATCTTATTCATCTTTGAGATGCCTAAATGAATAAGATGAGATATACTTCACTGATTCCAGTGGGAAGTTTGGGAATCTGGCTGGATGGATTTATTACTATTAATATCTTTAAAATCCCGTTGCAGGCAAAGGTGGGTGAGCAAGCCAACCTGCAAGACCTGGCCAACCTGGTGCTCTCTGTCGCCGACAGCAACAAGGACGGTCACATATCTCTGCCTGAGGCCAAGTCAGCTTGGGCCTTGCTGCAGCTCAATGAGGTCCTGCTCATGGTCATCCTCCAGGACAAGGAGCACACGCCCAAGCTCTTGGGCTTCTGCGGCAACCTGTACGTGGCAGAGAAGGTGGAGTACACCTCCCTGTACGGCCTACACCTCCCCTGGCTCCTGGAGCTCTGGATCCCCTCGGGGGTCCGCCGCAGCATGGACCAGTGGTTCACACCCTCCTGGCCTCGCAAGGCCAAGATCTTCATCGGCCTGCTGGAGCTGGTGGAGGATGTGTTCCATGGGCCCTTTGGCAACTTCCTCATGTGCGACGTGAGCGCCACCAACTTCGGCTACAATGAGAAGCACGACCTGAAGGCGGTGGACCTGCGGCGCGTGGTGCCTGAGGCCGCCTTCCGCGAGGCCATGCGCGACCGCCATTGCGACGTGGACGCCGACTGCGTGTACGGAGCAGACTGCAGCACCTCCTGCGACCTCACCAAGCGCCGCTGCTCCACGGACGTCATCCAGCCCAACCTGGCCAAGGCCTGCCGGATGCTGAAGGACTATATCCTGAGGGGGGCGCCACTGGATGTCCGCGAGGAGCTGGAGAAACAGCTGTACTCGTGCATGGCCCTGAAGGGCTCCGCGGACCAGATGGAGATGGAGCACTCGCTCATATTGAACAACTTGAAAACCCTGCTGTGGAAAAAGATTTCCAACACAAAAGACTCCTAACACACTCTGCTGCCCTGTTAAAGGAGTCCCCTCACCCACGCTTACAGAAGCCTTTCCAGAAAGTGCTGCCATTTCAGCTGATTCTAGAAAGGGGCAAAATGCTGTACAGTCATCCATCCATCCATCCATATGTTTATCCTGGATAGGATCGGGGGGGCCTGGAGCCTATCCGAGACAGTGTAGTCCACAAAGCAGGGGTACATACTGGATGCCTGTCCATCACAGGACAGACGCACACATACAGATACATACACACACATACACACTGCAGGAGGAAACTGAAGTACCTTAAGAAAACCATCAGAGCCTGAGGACAAGGCTCCAACACCACAAGAACCACACCCTGCAGCGCCGCTTTTTCAATCACAGGAGAAATTGTGTTTGTTGACTTCAGTTTACGTCTTTTTTGCAGTTTGTGGATTTGTGTACCGTGTACATCAGTCATTGCTAATGTGTTTTTCTTAGGTTTTGCTGTTTGGTTCTTAAACTGTGCCATGAGATAAATCAGCCTGAGCGATGTGGGCTGTGGGGGCAGGGGCTGGGTGCCTTCGGTTGTAGCCGAATGAAGAATTTCTCCTCTGTCGGCTACAGCAGAGTGATTTGTTTTCCCACTTCTGCAGGGAGTTTAATTACAGCATTTTACTGCTGCTTTTTCCACACCCATTGTTAAACCCGATACGAAATATGATATACCGTTTTCCAGTTCTTTCGACCACTATGTAGAACGGTTTGTGCTGAAGGTCATCACTGCTCTTAAGAATGAATCGCAGCAACCCAGAAATCCAGATGTTTACCATGTATGTTCAGAACGGCATGAAAAATTTGCATATTAAATATTGTACAAGACTACATTCCCTTACCATTTTGCCACAAAAAACTCTTACACTTCCAGTCTCATGGATTCAGTCCCAGGGTCTTTGTCCACAATCAGCCTTACTGTCTTGGATCTGCCCGCTCTCTTGGATCTGCCCGCTCTCTGTTCTGCAGGAACGTTCAGGGCGACAGGTTCTCACAGTACTAACGGGAAACACGTGCTGCGATACAGCCTCCACACGCATGTTTATTTTGATTCTGCTCAGCAGGTTAGGATGCTGTGCCTGGGATCAGGTCACCAATTCAAATCCCAGGTTCAGCCGACCGACGTCACCACTGGGCCCTTTGCGCAAAACCCTTAACCTCCCCCTTTTGCCACGGGGACTAACTGACCCCGATTTCTCAAAAATAAAATTTAAAAGTGTGTGGCTTTGGATAAAAGCATCACTAAATGTAAAAACTCAGATACTCCCATGCAGGCGACATCCAGCATTCTCCAAAAATAAAGGACAGGTTCAGTTTTGTTTGATTACGGAAACGTTCTGCATTTTTCTTTGGATAGGTGGAGGGTGTCAGAATTTTGTTAAATGCTGCCTTTCCAAGTTATTTCCCAACACCCACAGAACATGACTGACAATTTAGCCACAGGAAATAGAGGTTTAGGTGGGCAGGGTTCCGGTCCTGCCCATGGGGCTGTCAGGGGCTGCAAACTCGCATAACCCTGTTCTACATCCTCCTCCAATCAGCACCAGCTCTCCTGCTGAGCCATGACTTGCCACGTCAACAGCTCAGCAGTCGCCACCTTCAGTGTGGGTTCCTGTGTGCCCTGCGCCGAAGAGGAAACAAAGCCTCCTGGGAAATAGGCGTGAATAGGGAAGTTCAATGCTCAATCGGTGTCGCCGCCGTACGAAAACTGAAGTGTGACCTAGCAGTGCCACCCAGTGGTCAGGATAACGCAGTGCAGGGCCTTGATGTGAATTACCAAGAAGGCACTGCCGCTACAAGTTTCAGCAGTTTTGAGGCACGAGGCAGCAGCATGGTGCAACGTCAAGGACTATGCATGCTGAGTGACGTTCTGCCCCACCCAAACACACAGAACCATCATCTCTTCTCACAACGGCATCCCTATAGGCAGCGACGCGACTCCCCACCCAACAGAGATCCTCAACACACTGCAGTCGGTATGAAGTCGCAAGAGTGAAGTACACGGCTGAACACGGGGCTCGGGAAACGGCCCACTTTCCCTGAACCTTCCAGGTTCATAATGTGCCTGTCTGGCGTTCATGGTGATGTAATCATGAAACAGCACATGGAGGTTAAAGGACTGCCGTCACACCAACTAGCTCTTTTCGATACATTTATTAGAACAAAGATCTTTTTCGGGAAGCCCGAGGTGGTGGGGGTGGTGGGGATTGCATGTGATACTTTAGCTCTCCGCGGCCTCCTGCTGCTGAGCCCTGAGGAAGCTGGCCTTCTTCTGGGCCACGCGATCCTTCCTCTGGGCCAGGGACAACTTGGCACGATTCCACCTGCAGTGACGGCACGCCGTTAGGGTCTGCCACAAGCACACACTGGGAACCTGTGGTCTGACCACCAGGGCAGACCTGAGTCCGCCAAACCAGTACCAACGAGGCTGATATAAACACACCCTGTGGTCCATCTGGTCAATTAAACTCATTATAGACATCTTTGCAATTTAAGTAATGGAAGGTAAGGTTGAGTAAGATTTACAAAGCACTCAAAACAACCAGCTTGGGTGATGGAAACCGAAGCAGGACACATTAGCACAGAGTAAAACCCCAGCATGCTATTAGTGCGTGATCTTGTACTCGAGAGCTTCAGGAAAACTACAGCTGCACTCACCTCTTCTTCTTGACCTCCTTCTTGGGCTTCTTCTCATGGACCGGATTCTCGCGGATGGCAGCGTGGGCCTTCTTGTACATCTCCTCCAGCTACAGGGACAACAGGCATGCATCACACACAAAGCCTCTTCATAAAGCTTTACTAAGATCCAAAATATTTTCTCAAGGGCTCCATTGAACCAATGGTTCACCCCTCCAATCACCTATTCTCTCCATGTGTAGTACAGCCGTGGCCACTGGGAACACTGGGTACCTATTTGGGTTTTGTGCCACAAGGTCTAAGCACATACCAGTAAGGGGGGGGGGGGGCAAAACTGAAGTGAGAAAAGGCTTAAAGTCCTACAGTTAAACACGAACACCTCCATCTAGGCAGTTCCTGTATAAGTCCAGGAGCAGCAGAATGGAACTGCAGTCAAACTGAGGAAGGGGTCTCATGTGACCCAGTCACTGGCTTAAAACTTAAGATCTCAAGAAGGACTGAAACGTCAATAAGCCCGAACACTGAAAACATGCATCCCATTTACAGTGAGACTAACCTGGGTTGCCAGGCTGGGGGACACCACTTTCACTGAACTAAAGCTTAATCATTGTGTTGGCCATCAAGTACTGTTGAACTGGCCAAGCCAAACTGTAGAATGTCTACTGAAATTGTCCCAAGACCCATCAGTAAAGACAATAAAACATCTTAAAAAAGCATTTTAGACACCTGGGGGGGGGAGGGGATATTCCACAAAACAGGAATTCCTCAAGACAAACGTAAGGACTGTCTAATAGGAATGTCACTTCTTACTTCCCATTGGAGAGTTTTCATGTTCGGCTTAAGTTATCCAGCTAACTTTGTGGAATACCGCCCTGGAAGTGAGGAAGTCTTCTGTACTTGGAGAAGCCAAAGGTCCCAGTAGATAAACAAGCTGCTCTCAGCCCCGTCTTGAAAAAGGCTTCCATCAGCCATGCAAATGAAGTACCAACTACAGTTTGCTCAGGACCAAAGGCATCATCATCGAGCAGCTCGTCACCTCAACTCCCGTGGCCTACCGATGACACCGAAGGACGACGTGCCCCGAGGCAGCCGCATCCTTACCGAGTCGGGATTTACGCCGTTCTTGATGAAGCGGGAGAACTGCCTCTTGTAGGCCTCCTCGTCCTCCTCCATCAGGTACCTCATGTACTCCGAGACATTGATGCCCATGATGTGCTTGCGGTGAACCTCGGCATTGAATTCTTTGCTCTCAGAGTCGTAGCCGGGGAATCGTTTGGTGCTGGGGAAATGCAGACATGCAGCGTCAACTGGGCCTCGGGTACCCAGCACATACTGGGTCTGACTGGGAAGTGAAACCAGCCACTGGATATTTTCTACAAGATCAGACATGAGCTTGAAACAGGTGTTCTGACAGCCAGGAACCAACGTGCACCAAGTGACACCACCTAAAACCAATATCGAATACGCTGATGCATTAAAGCAGTGCTTCCCAAGCCAGCCCCCGGGGAGCCCCCGCCAGTCAGCATCTCCGCTTCCTCCCAGCCAGACAGTCCATGCAGACTATCTGCAGGACCCACGGGACAGAGTCGGGAATCACTGCATCAGACAGTCAATATCGTAAAAAAAATTACACTATACAGCTCTTAAAATGCTAGGGGGCATAAATTACAGCAGCATCCATCACCAACATATAGATGAGCAAGTAACCGCAGTCATGAATCAGAGCCGATGCAGGCTTGGTCTCCATGGAAACAGGACCCCTTGCTTACCTGTGAGGGATGGAGAGCCCGCCATCCACAGCACCCTTCAGGGCCCCAAACACTTTGTTCCCAGTGGTGGTTCTGGCCAGACCTGCATCCAAGTAGCAGGTGAAGGCACCTGGCTGACCGTCGATGCTCTCCACGTTGAACTCGTCGCCCGTAACCTCCACCTGGCCCTCATAAACCTTGTCCAGGCTAAACTTGTTCAGCAGCTGCGGAGGCAGACATGTTCTAAACCCATTTTCCCAGAACAGCAGCACACAAACAGGCAATGCAGCACCTCACAAGAGAATGGGGGTGGATGATAACACACAAACCACATCACCACACCTACAGTTCTGCACATATCTAAACTGCTGCCGTCATACAGGCATAACAAGTATGGAATCATTGGTGTGATGCACCTCCCAGTGTTATTCTTTGGTTTAATTAAAATAACACTCATGGACAGGTCCAGGTCAGGCTGTAACAAATGTCAGCCCACTCGGACAGATGGGCCTCAATCACCTGGTGCACACGGCACTCAAAGCTACGGGGTAACATATCAGAAACTTCCCAGTGCAAAGAGCCATGCAGGACAGCACTGATCTCCGTGAGAAGCCGGCCCAAGGGCAGTCGTGAGAAGCAGAAGCAGGGGCGGGGGAGCGACGGCGTCCTGGGGGGGCTCACCCTGCGCGCCAGCAGCAGCCCAGTGCAGTAGGCTGCGGCATAGTTAGTCAGACCCACAGAGATGCCGTACTTGGGCAGCTCATGCGAGTAGGCAGCGCAGACGATCATGTCCCCTTCGATCTTCGCATAGGCGATCTGAAAGGGAGCGAACAGCACTCAGACCAGGTCGGCATTGACCGACAGAACAAGCTCTAAAGCACCGGCAGTGTGAAGAACTTCGTTATAACCTAGAACAGCAGTCACCAACCCTACTCCTAGAGATCTACCACCCTGCATAGCTTAGGTGCCTAATTTAACACACAATACAGATAATCAGGCACTTCAGTAGCATCTCAGTATCAGATACTACTATTAGTTTTAACATATCTGGCGCCAATACTTATCTGTATCAGGTGTGTTCAATTACGGCGGCACCTAAACTCTGCAGGGAGGTAAATCTCCAGGAGCAGGTTTGGTGACCACTGACCAATAATTAAATAATCTGCCTTTCATAGAAGTACAAGGACAGATACATAGGAATGTATTTCCCCCCCCAAATACCCCATAAGGCTCTTTATTAAGACAAAGGGGTGAGCAATCCATCCAGAGTTAAGGTTCTTGCACAAGAGCCCAATGCAGATGTGGCTACGGGGTTAGAACCAGCAACCTCCCAATCAGTGGCACAGAGGCCTAACAGAGCCTGGAGAGACAGACCATACACTCCAACAGAGCACGGATGTCCGGCACCCACCTGGCAGACGATGTCCCTGTTGGAGAACCTGACGATC